TAACCACTTGGTCATCTACTTTAGATCAAGTCAAATGGATATCCATTGACCCAATAAGAACTTGAACTAGGATTCAAAGTAATCCAGTAATATTGGTATTTCTATGCATAAAACATTTTCCAATAAATAATCAAATAAATTTTCTTGTATAGAAAATAAATAAATAGATAATAATTTAAGAAAAAGTGAATGATTGTATGTGAAGGTGTTGCATAGAGATAACCATGAAATAATCATCTTTCATCAACACATAGCTTGTTACATGGCCATTGGATATTCCAACATGTTGAGAATTAAACAAGAACCTGTGCCCATTCTACCAATAGTTTATTATGATACTTTGTTTTATAGACCATTAAATCCACATTGGATGTCTTGTTCGTCCAAAAGGCATTTAATGTCGCGTCCTTGTTTCAAAGGGTAATATTTGGGTCTTTGCCATATAAATCAAGTTTGAATTGGATTAGGAAGTAACGGCAAAATTGGGAAAATCTTTTTGAAATTTGAAAGGGAAAAACAAGAGGGAAACTTGGAAAAAACAAGATTTGAAATTAAACCAAAAATGTTGAATCCTTTTTAAAGTCTTTGAATCCCAAATTCTTGCATCAGCTGCTGAATAGTTTGAGATGTATTAGTAAATCCATCCTGAAGGGATTCTCAATGATATTCATTGTAAACATTTTGAAAAAGATAGGTTTTTGAGAGCAAAGAGCAGTGAGCTGTCGCTATATTAACTAGTGGAGTTTTTGAAATGTCCCTACGACTCTGAAACAATGGAACTAGCATTGGATCAAATGGTTGAATGTTGTATTAAGTGTAACCAACATTGAATCAATTACTTGGATGTTGCAAGAGGCATAACCAACACCCTATCAATTGGTTGTTGTACTATTCAGTCTTTGAATTCATGTTTGTGCCCATCACAACTAAATGCAATACAAAATTGAACCAAGTTTGCATTTGTACTTTTGACCAATTTTGYATTTACATCAATATACATGATTTTTATACTTAGGCTGCATTTGGAAATGATGCAATTAGAGTGTAAATCCTTCACTTTTGCCATATCTACATTGATAGTAAATTTGCATTCAATTAGGCTTTTGATAAAAAAAGACATATGCTTTATTGGAATTCATGTTTGCATCCATTACAGCTAAAAATCTATTTGGTAAGAAAGTAATTTTGTCATGCAAAACTAACCCAACTTTACAATTTATATGGACTGTTTAACACTCTATGTATTTGCATGGATTCCGAATGCAGCCTTACCAAAAACAAACAAGAGGTAAATCACCTACAAAGGAAGGAAAAAAAGCAGATTAAAGAAAAAGGTGTGAAAGATTCTAAAACCCTAACAAAAAAAATAATAAATAAATATTTTAAATGTAACCTTTATTCCATGGTGAGCTTTTTTAAGTATTGGTTGATTTTTTATTAAATACTAAGCCTATTCCGTTCTTCGTTATGACACTTTTCTCATTTTCAAACAAACTTCCTTTAGTAACATACTGACAAGCTGCTCGAAATAAATGAAACCATGGAATATATATATTAATACTAGTTTGGCTCGAGGCAGTGCAATACTTGTTCAAACAGTCTTTACAGCCTTGCATTGAGAATATCTTCGTACTTATATATTTCATTTCATAAAGCGATATTCCTAATACAAAATTGCAAGAGGCTGTTCGAACGGACGTTGCAGTCACTGAAGTGGTGAACCCGAACTCTATTAAGTATTAATACAGACCTCACAGAGAAGACATACAGTAGGGCCACTAATCCTAGTACTACCACAAATGTGTCTTCTTGTATCTACACGAGACAAAGATTAAAACATGAATTATACATGAAACAAAAATTTATATAAAAAAGTAAAAGCATGTGAACACGAATTGTACAACAACTGGACCACATGCAAGAGAATCCGTACAAAGTACCAGTTTTGATCAAATAATTTTAACCACACAAAGGTAATTTAAATTGTTTTAGCTCTCTTTTGTTTACGGTGTCAATTTCAGTTGCACTGATGTAAATGTATGAAAGTGTAGATATGAATGTAAGTTTTACTTTCGTTTCATTATCTTAAATGAAAGATAATGGACGCTTAGAGGGTTATTTGTTTTTGAGTGAGGTAAGAAGGAAGATGATATGGTCTTTACTGGTCTCTACTTTTATATGAAAGAGAACTGAGGCTATTTGATTCATAGGAATAGGGTCTGAAATCGGAATTGGAATCCAACTGTTTGGAAAGAAAATCCATTCCAACTGATTCCGATTTTGTATAAACCAAACAGGTGGGAGGTATAGACCATTCTAGCTCCTATTCCAATAGATTTTGATTCCAGCTGTGAACCAAACAGACCCTTGATGTAGAAGAGAAGAGTGGTGCAAATTTTGCAGTAGCTTTTGAGATGCAAAATTTGAATTGCCAGTGAATGCAAAAAGTACAAGTTTTATATTAAGTAGGAGTGCAAATTTTAGTTACGAACAAATAGATGAACGAAACCGGTTGCAAAATTTGCATCCCGTTCAAATTTGCATTGCACAAACAGAGCCTTGAGATTATTGTCCTTATTCTTTTTACTGTTTAAACCAAATAAACTGTTTGAGTGTTTATGATAATCCAAATTTCCTAATTTTTACTTGGACTGCATTTGTTTCTCTATAAAATGGCTGTAGATTTTTTCAAGTGAAATAAAACCCACTTATTATTTTTGCCTCCTTTAGAGTGAAAACTTTGTTTTTTTTTTTTTTTTTTTAAAACTCCTATACCAATATGTTTTGATCTAAATGGCAAGTAAAACGAAATTTTCATCATAAAAGGGCAAAAATATAGCCCTAGTATTTCAACCTGAAGAATTTCCTAACCATTTTATGTCAGAAGTCAGAACTTAGAAAATATTATGAATTTTCTTGTGAGAGATATGCTTATCACCAAAAGGCCATGCATTGACCACCCAATGCATGTCTTGTTTGAAACGTTCAATGCAAAGTTGTATACATTCCTGGTCAGTTCTTCCAAAATTTGTAGTTTGAGCTATTTGGCTTGTTATGGTCATGCTTGTTGCTTAGGCTCAGTTTGAAAGGAGAACAATACATATTTGTATTTGTATTCTTTCCAAATTAAGCCTTACTTAAATAAGAAGAAGTGCCCACCATATCTCCAAGACTCCAACATTCAGTTTCATCACCCTGAAGGCCTCTACCCTGTAATTGTCATGAGATACCTAATCTTTTTCTACTTGGTTCAATTGTTAATACACAATAAACATAAACCCTTTATAGATGCTCTACGAGTAATTTCTTGCCAGACACAAAGTTCTGAATCAGTGCTTTAAAACACAAAGTTATGGATCATTGCTTATGGATACCGTATTGTCATTTGCACCAAACAAATGCTGTACTTATCAATGAACTTATCAATGAATACATTTGAGTTATTTTCTTTTCTAAATTACTTATCTATCTTGCTAAATGCATTTATCCTAGCAAGTGTTTCTTGAAAAACACTTATCCGGATAAGAACACTTGCCAATGTTCTTTTATTCCCTAGGTAAAGGTGTACAATGACCGATTTATCCAAAAGAGTAGCATTATTGAAGGGACAATATTATCCCATCACATATTAGTGATTATCGACATGTATCAATAAATAATTTACCCAAGTTTAAAGAAAGTATTACTTCCCCAAGTAAATAAGCCACTTGAAATCACTCTTTTCCACAAAACCCACTAATACTAGAAAATGAACATGGGTTTATTTCTTTTATGGGACCTACCAACTTACCCACCCCTATTTCCCTGAAAACGAATGAGGCCTTGGTATAATGTTTTTTCCTACATGTTTGATGATTTTTCTCCATCTTCCTTCTTAATTATTCAATGTTTACAACGATCACTAGGCCTTAATATATTTTTTTTTCTAACGCCATCACTAGGCCACAAATTACATTTAGGAACTTGTCAATTATAATATCATAAGCCAAAATAATTGTCTTCAAATCCTGAAACTAGATATTTATCTATACCACTATTAAAAGTCTAAATGAGAGTGTGGAACTTTTGTTCCACTAAAATACCCCAATTTTTTAATTTGGTACCTCTCTAATTATAAGAATAAAAATGTAATTTGAATGACTACTTTTCTCATTCAAATCCCTCTCATTAACTCTTATATTTGAGGTATTAAGTCCCATTAACATTCATTGAATCCTATTCTAGACTACAATACCCCTAGTTTTGAATTTGCTCCCTCTCCAATTATGGGGCTACAAAATGTAATTTGAACTATTACATTTCTCCTCATTCAATTCTCTCTTATTAAATCTTACATTTAGGGTATTAGTTCACATTCTTTCATAGAATCCTATATTAATTAACCAAAGTAAATAAAAATAAATATGACAGAAAGATTGTTTTTATTGATGATAGAAATAAAATACAAATTTAAACCTAACCTAGAAATGAAGTTGTTTTCTTGTTTGGTGGTAAGTCAACAATTCAACCTAGGGGCAAATGTGTCAAACTTTTTGATGTCATAATTAAATAATAATAAAAATTAAAATAGATGAAAACACAAAAAAGTATAAAAAATGCAAAAAGTTTTGTAGAAAACATTTGGGCACATCTCTAATATAATATATTTCATTATATTAAACAAAAACAAGTGTGACAAATAAGAATAATTTTTATAGATATAAAAATACAAAAAAAAATTATTATAAAAATTTTAGAAACATGTTATTTACAATCATTCATCATCATCAAAAATTGCCACGTGCAAAACAAGCATACACTTACTAGTATGTTAAAATAAAGCAAACAACCAAGCTTTGTCACAGCACAACAGATTGCTACAGCTAAAAAGATTGGGTTCTTGCCAATTGTTTTAGTCTCAGGTACACCTCCACTTTTGCATCATATCAATTAGTAAAAGCTGTTAGTATTGACTTATCAATCATCCAGCATGAGACAATAAACACAGTTGCACTGGTGGAGAGTACTAAGAACTACAAGTAGCAATAAGCATCAACTTTTGCACAACTAATTTTCCTTGGACATTCTGTATTGCTGTACTATATACTGTAACTATTAAGTACACACAGAGAGAGAGAGCTACAATTATGAAACTACCAACCATAACTTCTACTGCTTCATCATTTGTACATTTTTGGAGACAGATTGGGACTCTGTGAGTGAATAATTGCCACTCCTACGGAGAAAGACTGGAGAGCAGAAAGAGTTGATTGGAAATGAATAAAATAGAGACCATCATGGATATTCACCATTCTTAGGGTGGGCGCACCTTGCTTTGAACCCTGCCAGATAGAATTTGGTTCACCATCAGCTCCATGTTCTGTGCTAACATAACTCGTAATGCAGAAAGCTAATATAATTCATTGGCTTCTAAAGAAATGTATATTCTTGACCTTAACATATTCATAACTACTTGGCTATGTCCTGATTGAAAGAGATACTGGAATTTGAATAATACACAACACATTAATTTATTTATAATTCCGAGGAAATCAGGAAATTTAGAAATCACAAGGACACTTAATAATATCCAATATGTTAAATTTTGTACCTTAAAGTTGTTACTAAAACAATTTAAAAATTTGAAGGCCATGGATTAAATCAATGTAAACTGATAGAGGATTGGGCTTTAAAAAAAAAGCTGATAGAGGATTGACAAACCTTGATGAACAGATTCAATGTTTTGCATTCCTCTTTTGCATCTGGTCTATGTGAAACTTCTTTGGTCGGTCTACAATTAAGCACTGTGAGAGGACACCCAATATCCCAGCCACCACAGTCACAGTGTCCACCAGACCTCCATCTTTCACTAAGACTAGAAGGGCCACCAATTCTTGTCCTTGGGCCATCATGAATGCCTGCTGGGACTAGAACATCAATACTTGTAGAACAATCATTTTCATTTTGCAATAAACTTTCCTGGCCGTCTTCTGAAGAAACAGTCGCTTCTAGAAAAGTATTATTCTGCTGAGCCTCAACTTTGTTGAGAAATTTCAAGCCCCACCCTCCAACTGTTGTGTCTTGACAATCATCATGCACATAGCTTCTCACAACAATGGCAGCCAATTCAAGATTTGGTAAAAGATGGCCTTCAAGCAAGTTAATCCTACTTGGTGCATCAAGATTTCGGAACATATCTTGATAAGGCTCTGAAGATAAGTCTTCAAGCATGGAGCTTGGTACACCAAATCCTGGGATAGACCAATTCTTGGTAGTGTTAATTGTCCTAAAATCATTTACAACCTTCTTTGGCAGCCTGCTGTTATTCTTACGAATAGGAGTTGAACTTGGCATCTCCCCCAAATGGTTTTCACTAGTACCAAACAAAACAAATTCAGTCTCCGTGAGCTTTAAATCGTTTGAGCAAAGGCTGAAAGAACTTGAAACTTTCATCTTACCAACAATATCTGATACATTATTTGAATCACCCTGTTTCTCTTGTCCACCTGTTCTTGAATGGAAAGTATACATATAATCCAGAGCCTTATCATCTGATGATTCAACTTTCCACATGTTGGCAACATAAACCTCCCTTTGATCATCTACTGAGAACACAAAGTAAGGAACTCCATTTTTCCATATGCAATGAAGCCTTCCCTGAGAAAGAGTGCTACAAGTGGATGGAGAAGATTGATTGGAGCATGCTGAGTTTGAACATGACACAGATTCAGGCGTTTTATGGATAGCTCCTGATTCATATTTTTCATTTCCATGAAGTACTACTCCTCTTTCTAGGTTCTGGGATAGATTGATACTCAGCCTAGAAGGTGATCTCATGAAACCAGAATATTTTTTTCCTTTTACTCCGGTTGAACCCACCTTCTCTAAGTTGATGTCATGATTTAAGGCTCCTAAATTATATAATAATGGACTCTTCAGGATGCCACTTATCTTGGTGTTCCCTGAGATGGCACCTACAATCCACTGCCCAACGGAACTTATAACTAAATTCCCCTGTTCAGCAGCGGATGGGCATTCAATAATAAAACTACCCCAATCACTTCCATTTCTTCTTGTGCTTTTAACTGGTGACAAGGCATCAAACAGAATTTCCATCTTAGAGGAACTCAGATTTACAGCAATATTGCATGGGGGCACCGAGTGGCATGCTACACTTAGAGGTTTAGATTCTCTAACATCTGCAAAATCCAAGCCATGCCGGACATGTATCTCTTTGAGACTTCCAAAATGCATTTGTTTTAGAATCTTAACATCAGTACTCAGTTGACTCTGAAAGAATGATTCATGTATACATCTTTCACCTGTGTGAGATTGTTTGATTCCTGAAGTTAGCATCTGGTCTGGTTTCAACCTTTCTAAGGATCTCTTGTGGTTAGGTTCAGTAAACTCTGAATTACTATTCTCTACTACTAACTTCATGTCCTTTTCATGTGTAAAAGGAAATTCTTCCTTCCCATGTTCATCTTTACGTGGATTGGCAGATGTTTGATCCATTTTCGCAATCCAACCAAAGAAAGCACATACAGTGTCTAAATATGCTCAACCCTGGTCTTTTCAGTCAAAGCGCATTGTGAAACTGGGAAATCACATGCAACATCAGCACAAATACACCAAGAAGAAGTAAAATGTACATAAAGCAAAATCAAGATTTAAAATTTCCAAATGATATTCTTAATGGGATATTTAACCACCAAAGAAAAACTGCCAAAAGAAAAAGATTCTTACAAGTTGGTCAAGGGGATCAGATTGGTTTTCCAGGAATGGAAGACATAGTTGTTTTCTTCCACCTCTTTTAAATTGAACTTAATGCCACCAAGAGGGGGGAGCACTTTTTCCTTTTCCAGTTCTAGTTTTACTTGTAAGTTTCAATATGGTAGGAATTTACATTTTTATTGTCATAATCAGTAATAACATATTGTTCTGCTAATCTGAGAAAAGGACACTACGGCTGTACAGAGCAAAATGAACCAATAATTTTAGGAAATTAAAGAATTTACCCAATCGACCTGAACCCATTACCATAAAAATACAGAACACCCCTAAACTCTTCTTAAAACAGAAAATTGAAATAATGGAACTCTTAAAAACGATTGCTGGAACAACATTCAAATGCTTTTTGACTGAGAATAACTTGAGCATCTACAAATCCATTCATTTTCTTTAATGCTTGTGAAGGACACGATAGAAAGGAGAAGAAATAGAAAATCAGTAAACTTCCTGACAATTCTACCAAACCATACGAAAGTATTGGAGTAAAAAGCTCTTCTGTATGTCAACGAAGTGCTATCCACTTGCACAAGCTACAAAGGAAAACAAGAGAAAGATTCAGAGCAGCCATTTACAGGGAAGGCAGACTCTCGTAAACAATTATTCAAATAAAAAGACAAACAGAAAAACAATTACATTTGAAAAAAAAAACCATCTCTCTGATAAAAATAATACTCCCACTTGGATAAAACAAAAACAAATTCCAATTCGGGGCTGTTCCTTGAATAAAAACGTAAAAGAAAACGGGAATAAAACCTGCAAGAAACACGGAAGTTAAACAAATCAAAGACAAGCACAGAAAAACTAATCGATTAACAGAAAGCATAGACTGATAGTAACGGGTTTACAGTAGCAGTTTCAGCTTCTATCAGATAATCTACCGAAAAGGAAAAAGAATTCAAGCAACAGGATCGAAAACTAACGTCAACTAAACCAAAAATTCAAGCAAAACAAGCAACAGAAGCGAAAGTCGCAAAAGAAATTGCAAAAAATTCAATCTTCTCTCACCTCAAGAACCTCCATCCACCATGCAAACTCGACCTCTCCCAGAAAATGGAACTCACTTTTAGCCTTCACTCTCTGAGAAAGAGAGAACTGAAAAAGGTAATAAGGAAGAAAAAGGGAGAAACAGCTTTACTGGTAAAGTTGCCCAGCTCTTTTTATACTCCTTAGTAAGCGTAAGAAGAGAACAGAAGAAAGTATTACGGACTCCGCAGAGAGAAAGGGGTGGGAGAGGAGGAAAGGAAATTAACAAAACCGACGAAATGAAGTCATAAGCCACGCTTTTAACAACTTTTTAGCTCCCCTCCATCTCTGTCTCTCTCTCTGTTTTCCACTCCTTTTTGTTTTAAAGAAAAAACACAGTAGAAGAAACTCGAAATTCCGGTATTGTGGGTCCCTCTCTTGCTTCGCGTTTTCTACATAGAGAGAGGAGAGAGTATGAGAGCCAGTGCGGACGCCGGATGACAATTGACAACCGGTACCATGAAACCACCGACGAGGCGGCGAACCTCAGAAAGGTCAAGACTGATACTGCAGCTGCAACTGATGCGGAGTTGCGGACGTGTTCCCGTTTTTCTGAATTCTGGTCCTCTGCGGTTGTACACGTTATACTCGGTCAATCAATATATCCCACGGCAACAACTTATACGTAGGTCCCACACGTCATGATGACGTGGCGTATTATGACTGGCCAAGTATCCTCAGTTTTCCCCCCAAAACCGGCGCTTTATGATAAGCTTTTGTGGTAAAATTACTATTGTGTCTTCAGCCTTATTATCAATCACCTTTTTTATTTAGCTATTGAAATTTACAATAATATCCTTTGGGATATGTACTATCCTTTAGTCCCTGTTGGACAAATGTCCATCTGGGGACGAGGATGAATTTCTGACCCCCGATCCTCCACTGTGACCCGACGTCCGAGTTCCGACGGCGACTCTACCGGATCACTCTATCGGTTCTTTTTTCACTATTGGAAATACGGATCTAGGATAGATCCAAAATTACCTCGTCACTTCCATTGTTCTGGTGCATGGCAGACGATTGGGCCCTATCAGAAGTGGGGTCCCCATCATAAGAAGGATCTATACCAAGAAACCGCATGATCAGTTGATCACTGCTCAGATCAGATGGGGGACCGTGAATGGTGTCAAAATGGTTCGGGTCGTACTCGTACCCACTGTTTCCAAACAATTCGGTTGTGTCATTTTTATGCTCTTACAAAACCGATCTAATCTGATGGTTGGACCACTAACCACGGACCAATAGGCCGGTGGGCCGTGGCTAGAGTGCTAGACAACTAGAACTAGTTGGGTTTTCAAAACAAACATTGCTCACTAGTCACTACTAAACAGCTTTGGTTGCTGTGTTAATCTTGGTTCCATAAACATGATATCGAACAAGAAATTTGTATGTTGAAGTACGACATTGTATGCGTCGTACCTTTCAAATATAACTACTAACCCAATAATTTAGGTATCTGTCGTTCGTTCTGTCTACAATATAAATTTAATGATTCTTTTATATATTTTGTTTCATAATCCATACAACTAGGGCCTGGAATGGAATCGTTGATCTGGTTTTTGGCCAAAAATCATTGAATTGGTCAACGGTCTATTGATTTGAGTGGTTGAATTATCGACATGTTGACCTGTAAAATGGTTTTGGGCCATTTTTTATTTTTTAATTGGGAACCATTTAGACAATCAGTTCCGTTTTATCCTAATCTTGGTTCTTGGCTAAAAATTGTCGAATCAATCAATGACCTATTGACTTGGGTGGTTGAACTATTGACCCTTTCAATGGTTTTTGGTCGTTTTTTATTTTTTAATTTTTGTTGTTAGAACGGGCCATCCATTCAAACCGAACAGTCGAATTATTGACCCAAAAACCGGTGGTCAGAACGATTCCGTTTTCAGGTCGTATGAGTCACACGCTCGAATGACATAACACATATGGTACTGCTTAATGGACCTCACACACTCAAGTTTTGGTCTGTAATTTTTGTTGTCAGAATGGGTTGTCCGTTTTTTATTTTTTTAATTGAGAACCGTCTAGGCAACTAGTTCCGTTTTACCCCAATCCCGATCCCTGGCCAAAAATCGTTGAATCGGTCAATGACCCATTGACCCAAGTGGTTGAACCGTTAACCCGTTGACTTGTTCAGTGGTTTTTGACTGTTTTTTTATTTTTTATTTTTGTTGTTAGAACAGGCCGTTTGTTCAAACCGGACGGTCAAACTGTCAACCCGAAAACTGGTAGCCAGAACGGATCCATTTTCGAGTCGTATGAGTCACACGCTCGAATGACATAACATCATGGTTTTTAAAACCGACCCGGAGACCAAACCAGTCAGCGGTCTAGTTACCGGGTCGAACGGTCAGCCCGTTTTGACCAAAAAATAAAAAATAATAAAAAACGGTCAAAACCGTTCGAACGGTTCAATATCTAGTTATTAACAATATTTATAATAAATATTATATATTTATATAATTAGATAATTACATATATCTAATTATCTAACAATATTTATATAATTAATAGGAAATGGGACTTGAGTAGTCGAACCATTGACCCGTAATATGGTTTTTGGCCATTTTTTTTTTAATTGGGAACCATCTAGGCAACCAGTTTTGTTTTATCCTAATCTCGGTCCCTGGCCAAAAATCGTTGAATCGGTAACGACCCATTGACTCAGGCGGTCGAACCATTGATCCATTCAATGATTTTTGGTCGTTTTTTTATTTTTTTAGTTTTTGTTGTTTGAACGGGCCATCCGTTTGAACCGAATAGTCGAATAGTTGACCTGAAAACCGATGGCCAGAATGATTCCATTTTCAGGTTGTATGAGTCACACGCTCGAATGACATAACACATATGGTACTGCTTAATGGACCTCACACACTCAATTTTTTGCTTGTAATTTTTGTTGTCAGAACGGGTCGTCCGTTTTTTAGTTTTTTAATTGGGAACCGTCTAGGAAACTAGTTCTGTTTTACCCCAATCCCGGTTCCTGGCCAAAAACCGTTGAATCGGTCAATGACCCAAGTGGTCGAACCGTCAACCCGTTAACTCGTTCAATGGTTTTTGGTCGTCTTTTTATTTATTTTTATTTTTTTAATTTTTGTTGTCAGAACGGGCCGTTCGTTCAAACCAGACGGTCGAACTGTCAACCTGAAAACTAGTGGCCAGAACGGTTCCATTTTCGGATTGTATGAGTCACACGCTCGAATGAAATAACATCATGGTTTTTAAAACTAACCCGAAGACCGAACCGGTCAAGGGTTCGGTTACCAGGTCGAATAATCGGCCCGTTCTGACAAAAAAAATGATCAAAACCGTTCAAACGGTTCGATATCTAGTTATTAACAATATTTATAATAACTATTCTATATTTATATAATTAAATAACTATTATATAATTAATAGGATTGCTGCACGGAGAGAGCACCCCAATCTATATATATATGTTAAATTTAGGCGGTGTTTGGTATGCCTTTCATTTATTTGATAAATGGTGTCATGTCATTGTTAGATCAGCATTTGTCCCATCTAAGGATGGCAATTTTGTAGGAAATTTCGTGTATCTGACATGTCCCGACCCTAATAGGACTCGTTTATCAAAACTCTATAGGTTTTGGAATGGGTTTGAGATTTTTGATAAAACCCTATAGGGTTTGGATTTTGACTTTAGGGTATCCAATACCCAATACCCGAGATGCATAAATATGAAGCTATTATATTATATATCATGCACAAATTTATAAAATTTAAGTACTAAGATAAATATTCTATTATTAATATTTTATTTATATAAATTTCTTTGGATTAAAATCATTTTATATAAATTTGGATTTGATAGATTGTTTATTTCATTTAGTTATAAAATGCTAATTTTAAATATTATTTCTTTCAAAATTTAGTTGGAATTATTAATTATATACATGTATCGATTGTTTTGATGAACACAAAAGTTAATAAAATCTATTTTATTTCATTGAATAATATAAAAGGTGAGAAGGCTTAGTGGCTTATAGGAATGGCAACGGGGCGGGGTGGGGACGAGGAGCCTCTCCCCATCCCCATCCCTGTGAAAATCCCCATCCCCGTCCCTGCTAACGGGAACAAGGTTATCCCCATATTTTTAAAAATATTAATATATAGATGTATATTTACATATTTACATATTTACATATATAGCATAGGAATACATATATGCATATATATTAGTGGGGATCCTACGAAGTGGGGATCGGGGTCCCCGCGGGGCGGGGAGTGCTCTCCCCGTCCCCGCCCCGTCCCTACTAACGGGGATGAAAATTTCCCCATCCCCATCCTTGCCCCATTCAGGGTGGATCCCCACGGGGACCGGGGAAATGGGGAAAATTGCCATCCCTAGTGGCTTAAAATAGTGTTAAGAGATTTGGCGCTATTATTAATTGATCTGAGTTCAAGTCACAATATAAGCATTAAGAATTTTTTTTTATAGAAAACATTTGGTCAAGGGGTTTAACGGGTTTGGGAAATTGAGAAGAAAAGTTAGACGGATTTGGAATCAATGATACATAGGCGGGTTCGAAAATGGGTAGGGCAATTTGCAAGGGTACCCCACCCGTTGCCATTCCTATCCCATTATGTCGATTTGTAAGCATAGGTATTGATAAAAGTTGGTCTTGATTTGTGTACGCCAACCTTTGAGGGAAATTTTATTTTAATGTTTTTCCAACGGTTAAGTGTTTATTCACTGTTTTACTGATGTGGCGCCTAGTGGCACCTAGTGACGTCTAGTTGTCAACAAATCCCAGAAAAAACTTTTATCAATCACTTTTTCTCAGTTTTGAAGATAAATCAAGTACAAACGTTTATTTAACAAACAAAAGCCATGCGGAACATATACCTAGTTAATGGGTAAGTGGGGTAGTGATAAGGTGTATGTGGGGCCCATTGACATATAAGATAGAGATTTTGAAGGCATCTTTGTATTTTAAGGTTGTGTTTGGTATCATTGTTGTTTGCACCCTAAAGGTTTTGGGGTGATCAATATAAATTGGCATACTATGATGCAATTGTTATTTATGATTGAAATAGGAATACCTTAAAAATGCATGTATTAGAGGCTGTTTATAGAAATATCAAATTGGTGTTTCTTGTAAGTAATAATTCTCACACTTGATGTGACAATACATATTTCTCACCAATTTGTATTACTCATCCCAAATTGTTTTTGGTAGAAACAACAATAGTACCAAATACAACATAAATCTGCACCTTTTTAGGATGCCTTACCACCAACTTGGTATTAAGATTATGCTTGATGAATAAGTGGTTTAAGAAATAAATATTTTTTAGTGCTTGGGAGGTCTTTTTCCAAACCACTTACACTTATTTTAAGTACTTTTTTGGAATTGGTAAGCCACTTATCTAATAAGTATTTATATTTACAGAAATGATGACAGTTATAGTAACTAAGAATTGTCCAAAATAGAGCAAAAAATGGAGAAAAAAGAGAAGAGATTCATGTACCTATAATGATTTCTTACCTTAGAGTCACTTGTTGCTGTCACTGGTTCATTTTGGAGTT